TTTTTTTATTGGTCACATGAAATATTCTAATTTTGTGAAATACTGGATTTGGGTTTTTTTTGTCTTTAATCCATAATCATCAAAATTGAAACAAATAAAGGCTTGAAATATTTCACTTTGTGTGTAGTGAACTAATATAACATACAAGTTTCACTTTTTGAAACAAATTATTGAAATAAATGGACTTTCCCTCGATATTCAAATTTTTTGGCACATACCTGTACTGTATGTACCAAAATCTTATCAGTTTAGCCTTGAGTCCAAAGGGACACTTGTGCCAAATTCCCTCAAGGTATTCCCGACATATCACGTTCACAAGAATCATACTAATGGACAACTCAAAAACATAATGCCTCTGGCCGCCGATGAAGAGGCATATAAAGATCTTACCGCAGGCTGCATCACCTCCTGGGTCAACATGCATGCTCCATGGAGACAGGTCCTATTGGGGCTACAAGGAGTGCCATCAGCCCAGGGTAAGCTGCCATTCTTGGTGGAGCACTGTGTTGTCCCATCTTCGTGACACCAAAGCTGGCTGCATATATCAGTGTCAGAGGTGTTGGGGCAATGAATAAACTCCTCTCCAAATATCTGCTGGCACTGTTGGTCCAGGCTGTACTTGGTGCCTGGAAGTTCTTTTGGTAAAGGAATGGTACTCTCTGGGACATCCAGCAGGCAGTCCCCTGTGGTAACAAACCATCACTGTGTGAGACTGATTATATTGTGGTTTATGGAGATTATAGACTCTGCAGCAGTATGACAGTTGAAAATGTGTTGCTCAGTGTGTGTGGCATGATAAAAGTGGAAAACTATTCAGGGCATGTTGTGGCATAAATAAGTTAACTTCAACTCAACATCATCCCAGTGCTTTGAATATTGGCATCTGAACTGTATTCACTGTTCCACTAATGTTTTGTTATTTCGTTCACTAAGCCTTTCTTTGTAGCTGTCAGTGACATCTGCAGCTGGGACTGAAAATTCTCAGCCATATGAGTTTTTGTTGGAGGCATTTTCCAACTGATAAAGAACATATTTTGCTGATGCCAGCTGTTGCTTTTGGCTGAGGAGGTGGAAGAAGGAAGAAATCCATAGTATGACTCAATGGAAAAAAAGGTTCACTGATAGGTCTAAGATACAAACATTACATGATGCACAACACAAGGTGTGGAGAGGGAGCAACGGACAAAAGGCAAAGAGAAAGAAAGAGAAAAGAAGCAAGTGAGAAGAAGAAGACAAAGCAGATAAAATGTCCATACAGCCCACAGTTTCAAGGGATTGACATGTTTGAGCAGGAAAGTCATAGTTACAGTGTGAGAGGAAAACCAGTATGTTTTATTCATGTCTGAATCAGGACTAACCACAGGGCCACAGTGTCATGGCAGAGGGCCACAGACGCTTTGCATTGCACTACATCCAGAAGATCTCTACGGGGCTGCGTCATTTCTAATTACTTACTGTGTCATTTTTTAACATGCTGAGGTGAGCTGAAATATTTCCTACCATGTCCGTTGTCAAAGAACTCAGTGATGTAGAGAGCGCTGCAGGGAGACCACGGTGCCGTCTTGTTGAGGCTGACAAAAAGAGGAGCCATAAGGTAATGTCCTCCCAGATCTCCAAACAGCCTCTCACAGGTCTTGGAGTCATCATGAGGCATACTCAGCACATGACCTGCAGTATGAGAGGATGTGATATTAAGAATGTGGCATTTGCATTGTGGTTATTCATAACTGAAAATGACTTTAAAGCTACAGAACATCTTTATTACACTACATTTCAGAAGTGCTTTACAAACCAGTGTCTATACCAGCCCACCCATATGACAATAAATGTGACCTAACCGAGCTCGTGTGCAGCTGTGAAAGCTGCTTGTAGGCCGTTATCCTCAATAACTGAACAGCTTCTCTTCGGATCGCACATCGTCCCGACATCGGCCACGCCCAGTGTGTCACAGCTCTTCTGTCCGCAGATGTCCTGCAGCACAAACACAGCAAACACTGAAACTGAATCGCTAATGTTATGATGATGATGTGAGATTTTAAAGACTGATGCCAATATGGAAAGCTTAATGAAGCTTGCAAAATATTTATAATTAAATGTGTGTGTGTGTGTGTGTGTGTGTGTGTGTGTGTGTGTTGGGGTCTCAGATCTTATTATGATAAAGTATCCTTTAAAAAAAAATATGTAAACAAAATAATGCTAAGAATCAGAAAGTGGTCAAAAAGCACTCTAAAGCCTATAATGAGTTGCCATCTTCCAGTAAATGACATACACTTCTAAGGGAAGTGGAATTTTGGACTCTAATGCTAACCCTACTACCGGTCAAAGTGATATACAGTGGGTACGGAAAGTATTCAGACCCCCTTAAATTTTTCACTCTTTGTTATATTGCAGCCATATGCTAAAATCATTTAAGTTCATTTTTTCCTCATTAATGTACACACAGCACCCCATATTGACAGAAAAACACTGAATCTGTCAGGTTGGATGGTAAACGTTGGTGGACAGCCATTTTCAGGTCTCTCCAGAGATGCTCAATTGGGTTTAAGTCAGGGCTCTGGCTGGGCCATTCAAGAACAGTCACGGAGTTGTTGTGAAGCCACTCCTTCGTTATTTTAGCTGTGTGCTTAGGGTCATTGTCTTGTTGGAAGGTGAACCTTTGGCCCAGTCTGAGGTCCTGAGCACTCTGGAGAAGGTTTTCGTCCAGGATATCCCTGTACTTGGCCGCATTCATCCTTCCCTCGATTGCAACCAGTCGTCCTGTCCCTGCAGCTGAAAAACACCCCCATAGCATGATGCTGCCACCACCATGCTTCACTGTTGGGACTGTATTGGACAGGTGATGAGCAGTGCCTGGTTTTCTCCACACATACCGCTTAGAATTAAGGCCAAAAAGTTCTATCTTGGTCTCATCAGACCAGAGAATCTTATTTCTCACCATCTTGGAGTCCTTCAGGTGTTTTTTAGCAAACTCCATGTGGGCTTTCATGTGTCTTGCACTGAGGAGAGGCTTCTGTCGGGGCACTCTGCCCTAAAGCCCCGCCTGGTGGAGGGCTGCAGTGATGGGTGACTTTTTCCAACTTTCTCCCATCTCCCGACTGCATCTCTGGAGCTCAGCCACAGTCATCTTTGGGTTCTTCTGTACCTCTCTCACCAAGGCTCTTCTCCCCCGATAGCTCAGTTTGGCCGGACGGCCAGCTCTAGGAAGGGTTCTGGTCGTCCCAAACGTCTTCCATTTAAGGATTATGGAGGCCACTGTGCTCTTTGGAACCTTAAGTGCAGCAGAAATTTTTTTGTAACCTTGGCCAGATCTGTGCCTTGCCACAATTCTGTCTGTGAGCTCTTCAGGCAGTTCCTTTGACCTCATGATTCTCATTTGCTCTGACATGCAGTGTGAGCTGTAGGGTCTTATATAGACAGGTGTGTGGCTTTTCCTAATCACGTCCAATCAGTATAATCAAACACCGCTGGACTCAAATGAAGGTGTAGAACCATCTCAGGGATGATCAGAAGAAATGGACAGCACCTAAGTTAAATATATGAGTGTCACAGCAAAGGGTCTGAATACTTATGACCATGTGATATTTCAGTTTTTCTTTTTTAATAAATCTGCAATAATGTCAAACATTCTGTGTTTTTCTGTCAATATGGGGTGCTGTGTGTACATTAATGAGGAAAAAAATGAACTTAAATGATTTTAGCATATGGCTGCAATATAACAAAGAGTGAAAAATTTAAGGGGGTCTGAATACTTTCCGTAACCACTGTATTACTAGCAATCACCATATGACATTTAAACAACAGCAGCACACAACTGCTATATGACAGTGAAAAGTGGTATCTGCAGGTGGAATACCAGTGACAGTCCATTAATAAGTCACAGCAGCACGGACATGCCATAATCAGCAGCAGCAAGAAGAGCAGCTGCCAAACACTTTCACTGTCCTGGAACACCAGAAGTTTCCACTGAAACTAAAAAATGCATTCTTGTAATGGTTCCACTTCAACTATTTCATGCAGTTCAGTTCAGGTTAAGATCTTGCCATGCACAATCAAAGTTGTGTTGACCAATTCTGAAATGAATCTGTATTCAAACAACAACACAGACTTTATCCAGTGTTTAATACATAGCCAGCATTGTTAAAAACCTTCAAAGGTTTATTCCTCTTGGAAGAATAGTATTAATTTATTAGAAATGGCTGGGTGTTTGTTAAAAAAAAGTTTAAATACACTATTCAGTCAAATAATAAATACAGTAAGTGTATGGGCAGCCCTGAGTGACTTACACTATATTGCCAAAAGTATTCGCTCGTCTGCCTTCACATGCAAATGAACTTCAGTAACAACCGATTCTTAATCCATAGGGTTTAATATGATATTAGCCCATCCTTTGCAGCTATAACAGCTTCAACTCTTCTGGGAAGGCAGTCCATAAGGTTTAGGAGTGTGTTAATGGCAATTCTTCCAGAAGCGCATTTGTGAGGTCAGACACTGATGTTGTACGAGAAGTCCTCCATAAAGTACACACCTAACCATCTTGCTAAAATGAGAGTTTGTTAACATGACATTGGTGGAGTGGTTAAAATCAGTTTTAATGACTTTAACCTAAGTGTATGTAAACTTCTGACTTCAACTATAGGTGTTTTCAATAGACATGAAAAAATGATAAATGTTTGTATGTCATTAGCTGAAGCACATTGTGTATTTGTGACTTAGATGAAGATCAGATCACATTTTGTGACCAGAGAGTTCTTTACACTGGAACTACCTCTGCTCGAGTCCAGCATGCCTTACACCACTGCATCCGACGCTTTGCTTTACACTAGAACTACCACTGCTCTTGAGTCCAGCATACCTTACACCACTGCATCCGACGCTTTGCATTGCACTTGGTGATGTAAGGCTTGGATGCAGCTGCTCGACCATGGAACCCCATTCCATGAAGCTCTCTACACACTGTTCTTGAGCTAATCTGAAGGCCACATGAAGTTTGGAGGTCTGTAGCTATTGACTCTGCAGAAAGTTGGCGACCTCTGTGCACTATGCGTCTCAGCATCTGCTCACCACGCTTTGTGATTTTATGTGGCCTACCACTTTGTGGCTGAGGTGCCATCGTTCCCAATCACTTCCACTTTGTTATAATACCACTAACAGGTGACTGTGGAATATTTAGTAGCAAGGAAATTTCATGACTGGACTTATTGCACAGGTGGCATCCTATCACGATATCACACTGGAGTTCACTGAGCTCCTGAAAGTGACCCATTCTTTCACAAATGTTTGTAATGAGTGGTCTGCATGCCTAGGTGCTTGATTATAAACACCTGTAACCATGGAAGTGGTTGGAACACCTGAATTCAATGATTTGGATGGGTGAGCAAATACGTTTGACAATATAGTGTATATTAATCACATAGGATAGTGAACCTTCACTGACTATTTATATCAAGTTGTTTATTTGAAATTTTAAAGAAACAAATCAAAAGCATGTAGCTTGGTGTTTTGGTCATGAAACAAAGCAAATACATATTCACAAAATGCAGTTGTAGAGATGCTGGATGTAGGAAAATAAACAGTATGGTAAGGAATCTCTCCCTGTTTGAGAAGATGCCTGCTAGTGTAGGATGGAGAGTGACGCATCCATGGCCTCACCTCAACCCACAAAACCGCAAGGCAGAGCCCAGTGTAATTGAAAACCCATCTGTACTTGGCGCTGCAGTTGAATACAGCTCAGCATGAGTTTGTACACCTTGTTCCACAGCAGCATCCGCTGCTCATGCATGCACACACACACACACACACACACACACACACACACACACAGACAAAGCTAGATGTATGGGTTACAGCACAAGACATAGTACTGTATTTGCAGATTGTGCAGACATACACACAAACACATACATATACTATAAGACCATAAAAATCCATGAGCAAAAAATGTTTCCAGTACATGATAGAGAGTGTAGGTTTTGAGTTTCACAACTGCCAGTAGTAACAGCGGTTTTCTCTTGTGATTGTGGAATACATGGCACACATTTTCAACCTCGACCTGGCTGCACACTTGAGCCCTAACCATTTAAAGCGGCATCATCATGTCAGGGCTGATCTGTGGCAGTACTAAAGTTAGCTCACCCATGAAGAGCCTTCTGCCTTGTCCATTTCAAAGCATATCTGCGCAGAAACGGAAAAACAAACACAAACCAGGCTCGCGTGAATGATGGTTTCCCCAATTGAACAAATCCAAAGCCAGACTTGAAAAGTTCATATGTTATATTCATTTCTTCTCTATCCCAGGGTCAAATTTACATGCTGTCGTCATTCAGTAGGCGGATAAATGCCAAGCCTGTCATCAAATCAAGCCACAACCACTGCACTTAGCTAAACAATGTATTAATAAAAAAATGACTTGTCTAATGTCTGCTACCACTTTGTCAACATGCACATACCAGATGAAAGAAGGCACTTAGTACAGCAAAACAAGGCGATCACAACTCAAACCCTATGATTTCTGAAGCATAATTTGTATGGACTATGCGGACATTCCACCTGTTTGGAAAACATAGCACCTATTCTGTTTCTCCAGTCCATTATCAGCATTATTTTCCTCCCCAAAGAGTTACAAAGGCTTTTCTTTGCCTCGCCTTTGTTTCATCATCTTTTTTTTTTCCTCTAATCTCACACATCTGCTCCTGGGTTGCTTTAAGAGCAACATGTACTCTGACAACAACTGGCCTGAAGCAGGGGGCTCATTTTCAGCAAAGATCCGCCATGCTAAACACAACTGGCCTTAAAATGCATTTGTGTTATTGCAAAACACTTGGTTTATTAATGTGGTTGAGTATGCCACCTCTGCAACTACATTACATATCACAGCTGGGCCTGGGGCTAAATTCCACCAGAGCTTAATTCATGACTCATCCTTCCTGGGTATTGCCTTCTGAATAGAGACCAAAATTACCAGACACAAAAGAGTGGACTGTCTGTCCAGTCTAATATTACATGATGAAACACTCACAACATTGCATGATGTTTTCATTTACTAAATAATTTAAACCCCTCTGAAGAGAACCATGACTGTCATGGTTACTTTCACCCTTTAAGCCTTATGCTGCACCAGTGTTAAGATATTTTGTCCAAATGGCAAAGTTTTTATCTTTAGCTACATTAATCATGTTTCTGTCTTTTCACCACTTGGGGGCAGGGCACTACTGGGCTCCTGTGTTAGCCAAACTAAACTGACTGTTGCAGCAGACGCAGAGAAACGTCAGCATTCATTTGGAGATGTTTCTGATGACCTCACAAATGGAACTTTTGTATTCTCTCTCCTTTTAGCTCAGTCTTGTGCTCCAACAAATCAAGAGAAATGCATCTCTTTAGCTGTTACAATATAAATGCTCCCCACCTAATTTATCAGCTAAGTTACTATCTTTGTCTGTCTTGCATTTGATGTTGGCAGGTAGATTAAAGTCAGATTATGAGAGCTTTCTTGCTAAAAACAGGTTCCTGTTGCTGCTGGAAACAACACTGATAAGAGCGGTCAGACTGAACCAACAGTAAGTTGGCAGGCCAGTAAACCAAAACAATGAACCGAAGACCCTAAAATGCCTTGTAGAGCTCAGGGGAATAGCAGAGCTGGTGATAATTCTGTGATGTGTACACATTACACACAGGCATTTGACCCATTGTTAATATAAAAATATTCATTAGTGCAGCTTTAAACTACAGTTTCATGCCCAAACATTATAAGCATTCAGCATATACTGGAGCCAGAACTCTACAATAAATCCAATGATACTACTGCTTCTTTTAATACAAAATGTTGTGTTCCCCAGGGGTCAATACTTGGACCACTGCTGTCTTATAATTTCCATAAACATTTTTAGCACATTTAACTCAAGATCCTCTTATTAGCTTTATCCAGAATTTTTAAGTAAATCTCACAGTTTTCCTCAACAGATGAAGTTTTTTCATGGAGATACTGTAGCTCAACTGTCAGCATGTAGCCTATGAAAATCCACTCACGTGATAACACATGATTTCATATATCGGGGAAGATGGTAACCTCTGTTCAAGAATGGTGGCTTTGGTGTGGGATGTGAATCAGTGATCACTCAACTCATCAAAGACCTTTGACCTTTTCACAATCAATGTGGTTTTGGTCTAGTGTTCACAGTCATCTGATGTTGTCAGCTTCAAGTGTTCATTTAATCTCTTGTCCAGGGTCCCTGTTGTTTCATTGATGTAGTCTGTGTGACAAGTGAATAAATTCCATTCACTGAAGGAGACTTCAGATTAAAGTGCTGAAAACAAGCTGTCAAGCTGCTCCTTTTAAACTTTAATGCTCAAAAGTTTAAACTCATATTTACAACACTAAATGTTATATGGTATGTTTTATTGCAGAGCAACTGTGTAAAGCAGCTTATGTGGTCCCTCACCTCTCTAGTGAACAGTATGGCAGTGTCGTAGTGCTCTGGGTGCCTTGGGCTCGGTGGATTGAAGAGCTGCTGCCAGGAACAAAAATTCCTCAAAGCAACACCTCCGTTGCTGGAGACCTCTGGGCCAATCTCCTCGTCCTCCACCACCAGCATCTTCACCACCACCATGTTCACTGAGTTCTTTATGCTGGGGTGCTTGTAAAGCTGGGTAGCTATTGACATAAGAGTCAGAAGGTAGTGCTGTGGAGGAGAAGAGACAAGACATTTAAGAACTTTCATGAGCATGAGCTTTCATTCACTAGACAGTTCAAGGACTGGTACAGCACAAACTGTAGCATGGACAAAAGAAGGCAGACTTAAAGCCAAACTGGCGATAGTCATGCAGTGCAGGTATCTGTTTTTGATTTGTACTGTGCTTGTGTTTGGGCCTGCAAAAAAAGAGAGTCTAACTGAATTTGATTTTTGAGGTCAGTATTCGTTTTTCAACATACCGACATCTGTAAACATTTTTTTCTTTAAGGAACTTTACAAATGATTGTTAAAGAACTGTAACAAAGATACAGTATGTACTAAATAAGATATTTTATGTTTTAAAAAGAGCAAGTTAGTGCTCTGTGTAATGGTGACAATATTTTTAAATGATTTAAAACATATATTTCACCTTTTCATGTACTGCAGATATCTGCAATAAACTAGAAGGAGCCAGTACAGTCGATGTATTAGTTAGGCTCTATCACATACCACTTCTTATTAGAACTGCAAATGAAAAGAGCAAGTTTCATGACTTTAGTTCAGACTTTTACAAAATAATTTTTTATATAATATGACAGCAAAACGTTTAATGCGTCAATTTAAAAAAAGATAATCAGTAATTATGAAAACTTTGGCAGTGGTTAACTAATCGTACTCATAGCCCAAAAATAGACTAAACTGTCTTCAAAAATACATCTGCATGCATCTTTACATGTGTGAGGGAATTTCTGTTTTCTAAAGTGGAAATTTAACTCAAAAAGGAATGTTACTGCCCCTTAAAGTATGAGGTGCTGTATAACAATATATTTTTTGCATTCTATTGTAATATTTTAACCTCTGGGTATTATTATATATATGTGTGCCTTACAGTTCTACTGCTGTAGTAGCAGAGATGCAAAAAGAACAGTTTGCTCCTCCTCACCCAATAAACTGGCTGCTGCCTTTAGAGGGGATGACAGGAACAAATGTATTGTAATTGGTCTTTAATGACATCTTAGGATATTGTTGGAGTCCACTAATAATGTACAATATAGACTGAATACAAACTTCAAAATGATAAACTAGACACGTGTCTTTTAACCTTAACCTTGTCACCACTTTCAGGAAACTGGAAGTGTTATTGTGTGTTTAGTTGTTTTATTTTAAGTGAAAAAGTCAGGGAAAAAAATCCCTTTTGATTTTGCTCACATTAATAGGGGCCTTCGAATAGTTTTGCTCACTAGGTATGAGCTTGCCATGGAAGGTAGGGATGGGCAGGGTTTTCACAACAGTCTTTTGTGTCCTAGTGGAAATCTGGTAAATAACAATGAATGTGGGGGACTGCTCCATGTGGTGTATTGTAAAATTTTCCATCAGTCTTACTAGACGGGATTATATAGAATGATTTTCCACATGGGCTGTAAACACACCCACAGAGTCACATGTTGATTTTTGCCTTGGGCCTCTAAACTACTAAAATGTCCATGCTCAAAGAAAACTAGAGTAACATGAATGAAAATTTAATAAACCCTGTCTAATTTCTAATGAAAAGGCTATATAAGTCCAATTTTACGGTGTAATCTGTGTCCACCTGACCCTATAGTGCCTGGTTGCCTGTGTCTTACTGTGGAATAAGGCTGTGTTTGGCAGCTGAGGAGCTTTTTAAGTACAAACAGACTACAATTTGGCTGCTGCAGATTGTGGCAGGATCATAGATTTTCCTATTTTTGTTTGTTTAAATAAGTCTTTCTGGTTAGAACCAGAACTGGTTTTAGTTATGGAGCATGATTTCAGGAGATATTTTTAATAAAGATGCCATCTGTTAAATTCTGTTCAAATATTATATTGGATGTTTTACATAACTTGCTGCAGGGAAGGGTCCAAATGATGAATTTGTAAAGACTGAACAGAACAGATATTTCAGTGAATCTTTCCTGGATGATGCTGAGAATCTCCTGCCAAATCATGACCAAGTCCTGAGGAATGTGGCTCAGCATTGCTTGCATTTCTGTTCCCTGACTACTTTCTCAGCTTGTGGAAAACAGGGAGATGTCCTCCCAAGCCCCCTCATTGCCAGAACATTTTTATGAAGTAGCACAAAAAACAAAGCATTGCCATCCTGACTCAGCAGGTAGGCTGGGGAAATAAAAACGAAAAAAACTACATCTTCACGAGTTGATTTATGGGCCAGTGTAATGTGATGAAACTAGGGTTTGCTAACAAATTTCTCCTATCAAGTGTGTATGCAGGAAAGAATGAGTTCATCGTGTCTGACCTTTATTTCATCTCCATAGAAGTGGGTCATGGTTGAGTCCGCTACCAGCAGGGTCTCTATGAACCGTGGCGCGGAAACAAAGCGTCTCCGGCGAGGTTCCCTCTGTGCGTCACTGTCGCTGTGCGTAAAACGCTTCCCATTGTGTTTCTTTACTAGACGCCCCTCCACCGCGTGATCAGACAGGAGGAGAACACCGGGGCTTTTGGTGAATGTCCTCCTCTTGATGACATGCAGCTGCTCGGTAGAGTGTGGTCGCAGGCCGCCACTAGATTTGGGCTCAATTATATACTCTTTCTATGAAGGAGCCAAAGATGCCGGAGCACAAACTGACAGCCACAACAGAGTTTTGATCATTATCTACGCTTCCAGAGTAAAAGCAGCTCCTCAGCTGTCCTTCACTGTCCTCTGTCTGACTTATAAATTCCTGGAAATCTACGTTTAGGATAGCTTTAGCACCTACAGCGCTGCGTAAAGCGCCAGCATCTCTAGCTTTAATGCGCTGTATGGCGAAGGAAGGCGCGATAAAGCTGGTATCTGGTATAAGATTTAGAGTCAAGTCCTTGCCAAATGCACTGAGGACAAATCTCGGCTGTTCCTCGCTTCTCTTCCAAAAGCGACCACTTATTCTTCCATTTATCCGAACAGGTACAATGTCCTCTGATTCAAATGGGGTGAGGAGAGCCACTTTGAATGCGCACACGGATAAAAAGATCAAACACACAGTGGAACACATCTTCTGCAAAAAAAAAAAAAAAAAAAAAAAGTGGGTGCAGTTGGTGACTCAGCAGCACAATTTAGATTTAGCATCCACACACACTTTCTCCACTCAAACTTGACTACCCAGGGCTGTGAAACCAGTCTTGGTAAAGTGTAGCGGGTACTTAATTTTGGTCTGTATGAGTTTTAGTTTCTAATTACCCAAACAGAGTCGGTCTTGTAGCACTCACCAGCACCGCTGCAGTCTGGACACATCAGGGGTATTTATACTCTCTGCTCTTCCCTGGCCATGAGGGGGTTTATTTTTGATATCCTCCGTTGCTGGAAATTCTCCTCCCACTCGTACCTCATGTGAAACTCGCGGATAAAACGTTTCCAATAAGAATAGGCCGACACCCTCTCTCCCCACACCACCAACCGCCTTTCTGAAATAGCTTGACAGCCGCGCTCCTATTATTAACCTATATGGCAGCGGCAGGACATCTATAGCCTACTATGCATAGCTGGAAGTCCGCTACTCGAGTTATTTCGGAGCCGTGAGTGACAGGCCCCCACAGAGCCCGGAGCCCCCTCACCCCACCCCAAGGCCAGTCTACTTTATCTCAGCACAAAAGACCACCGCTGGACAGAGAAGGGCACTGTGTGTAGGCTTTTCTGAGAAAACACTGAATATTGAGATCAAGCAACCAAGCTTTATTAGGATACAAATCTGGGTTTCCCTGTGTGCTCTTTACCCAAAGAACGCTTTTCATTTTGTGTATTTAATGAAACCATGACTCAAATACACTTCTTTTTTCTTCAGTCAAATTGTTCAATTAATAACCAAGTGAGTCAAATTTCAAAATTATATTTAATAGTCTTCTGCGGATTTGGAGTATTTTTATATAAATCTGCATTATAACGACTTATTTTAGAAGCATGGAATATAAAGTTCATGGGGGTTTCTCTAAAAGGCTTCTGCTGTATTACAAGACTGAATACGTGTCCTGCCAGGCGCTATATAAAAAACTTTGTTATGATTTAGTTCCAGAACAATACCAGTAAACAATAAAAAATAATCCTGTAGGCGCAGTTCAATGCATTAACCGACAGATAGCGCCAGGACACAACTAACTCGTGCAAACGCGGCGACGCTGGACGCCCCAGTAGATTTCACGCACCAACAGCTGTCGCCCTTCACCCAGTTTTAGGTTTGCATTTGCCTTTTATCTTCGTCTTCTGCTTAGAAAGTATTTGTTTGTTTGCATGCCAGTATTTATTTTTTGATGAATGAGGGTGTTTTCTGTATTCATTGAAATTATTCAATGTGGTTTGTGAAACATTTTATGGGCAAATGAAAGAAAAGTGGGATTATTTGAGAAATCATGGAGAATGTTTTGTTTTATTAAGTTAAGTTTAAAAGTTATGGCGCAAATACCTCCACACTAATCTTTCGGTGTAGCCCTTTATCCCTTATATGTTTGCTCAGTGTCCGCCTGGCAGTGAGTCTGGGCGGTGGGAGGGTGATGATGCTCCAGCTCCTGTCACACATGCTGTAGCCTACAGCAAGCATAATATCTGAAGAGTTACACGTGCAGCAGAAGCCTAGATACATGAACAATTTGCGCTTTCTTGCGCGCATACTCAGCTTTCAGTTGACAGCGATCCTAAGCGTTTAAGTGGGAGTTTAATGCACAAAGGCGCGGAGATGTCGGTGGCCACAGTGGACAAGGTGTAAAATGGGAAAGAAGCTGGATATCAGTGTGGGTGCTTAATGTTCTAAGGACCCACAAGCGGCGCTCCTTGCACAACTTCTTTACTGCATGAATCTTGCTGCAGCCGAAATACAGTGTGGACTTGCCTGAGCAGGAGCAGAGATGGCTATACTCGTTTGTTCTTTGATCATTTTTACAAAACTCGTACTTTATTTGAAACTAACATATTGCATGGAGGTAGATTTTTTCATACCTGTTCGTGTGGATCACCAAGAGCATGAAAAGCAGCCGAACCAGCACGCGGAACAGATGAGGGAAAGGCAGACTGTTTTCAGACTAACAGCATTCAAACAGGACTTTTACCTGCACCTCACACCGGATTCTAGTTTCCTTGCACTGGGCAGCTTGCCGGTTGAGAGCGGCTCATCAGCATCCAACGCCTCTGCAACCGTTGACCTCAGGGAGTGCTTCTATTCCGGTGATGTCAACACAGATCCGGACTCCTTCGCCGCGCTCAGCCTGTGCAAAGGACTCCACGGGGGGTTCCTCTATAAGGACATGGAGTACTTCATCAGCCAGACCAGGACTGAAAACGCATTTGCTGCATCGGGATATGCAAACTCTTTTTACAGAATGCATGTCATCCGCCGCAAGAGACGCACTGTGCACTCAGTTGGCAATTTCACCAGCAGGTGTGGAGTTACACCTGACACCAGGTTTAACATTTCCCTGGAGAAATACAAACATTTAAATGCACTGGAGAATTATAGCTTAAGGGAAACTGTGTTGAAAACTTTAGGGAGGTCCAAAAGGTTTGCCTCCATTCCTAGGTTTGTGGAGGTCCTGGTTGTAGCAGATGAATCAATGGTGAAATTTCACGGGAATGACCTGAAGCATTACATCCTGACCCTGATGTCAGTAGCTGCCAAGCTTTACAAGCATCCCAGCATTTTCAATTCCATAAACATAGTGGTGGTGGGCTTTGTGGTGATAAATGAAGCTGACAAGGGTCCTAAGGTTTCCAGTAATGCAGCCCTGACTCTGCGCAATTTCTGCTCCTGGCAGAAGAAGCTGAATAAACATACTGACAAGCACCCTGAATACTGGGACACTGCTATACTGTTCACCAAACAGGTAAGAAAGGGAGGAGTCTGCGATGATGTATCACACTGGTATTGCAAAGAATAGAACAGCAGCATGCGCATGTGCATGGTCGGATTATGACACAATGAGCCCCTGGGCACAGGCATGGTTCTGTCTCTTTCGGATCATTTTGCAGCCCTTAGTTTTTACAGTGTCTCTGTCTTTAGGTGGTCAGTTATTGTTTCATTGTAGTCACTTTGTGCTTGCCACTTTTCACTTTGTCACTTTTAGTGTCTTTTTAATTGTTTTTGTCTCTTTGCAGTCATTTTGTTTTTCATTCTAGTTGTTTTGTGTTTGTAGTCATTTAGTGTCTTTTTGTAGTGACCCGATGCACTGTCCAACAACAAATATACAATGTCACTTCATACAGGAGCCTCCTGACCCCAGCCTGTCATATTCATTCAGTAGTGTGTTGGTGCACTATGTAAACTGCACAGTGCTAGTGCCTTTCAGCTGCAATAAGTCTGCCTCAGCCAGATCTCACCTCTGTCTGTTTTTATGGAATAACAACTGGGCATCAGCCTACTGTATATGAGGCAGCCACAGATCAGAGCATTTTCTTGAAGATTTTTTAGGGAGGGCTTTTCATCCATATTTTTTAGTAAGGCACAACGAGACAGACAGGTAACAGGGAACCTGCAACAAGTGTCAGCAGTTGGAAATGAACCACTGACATCATGCGCTGCCAAGTATGTGCTATGCCACACCATAACAACTCAACTACAGGGCACCCGCAGGAGCCTTTGTAGAAATCTAGAAGGAATTCAAATTACTCCTCATTCATTCAAACTGATGTAAAGTGAAACTATCTAAAGCATTCAACCTAATCACAGCTATCAGATGATCTCATGTGACCACTGAAGCTGTGACCACTGACTAGATGCCAGGTTGTTGTTGTTGCCTGCTTTCATGACCTCTCTCCTTCACTGCCTAGCAAAATGGAAAAAACAGTTCAAGGTTGCAAAGAGTTAAGAATTATCTCAGTGCCAGGAAAGATTTTTTATTTACACTGAGAGCAATTATACTGTACATGGGAGAGTCTAGGTGTGGTGTCTTTGTGGGACACAATGACCACAGCTGCTGTGTTGGAACATAACCTGTAATAGGTTGTAAGCACATGGTGTGGGATACTCATGGCTGGCAGAGATGGCTTCTGGCATCACTGGGCCTCTCTATAACACTGGGTTAAGAAGTTCAGTATCGACTGTGTATTCACATTTACACCTGAAAGTCATTTTGATATAACATAATAATATAACCCCTGACCAGAACATTTCACACAGGAATAAATGTGTTAAATACAGAAAAATCTATCTAGTAAGTTTTGAGACAAAACAAAACCACAGTCTTCCTGGAAAACCAGTGAGTCATGGCTGTTATACCAATTATACTGACTTGTTCCAGTGAGAAAAGAAAAGAAAAGAAAACATGATGATGTTTAGCAGGTGTACCATGTTCCCATATTGCTTTAGTATGTTAAAATGTTAACATTTATTTGTCAACACAAAACACAAAGAACAGCTGAGGCTGATGGGAAATGACATATTGAAATTTTCACCTGATCAAAATTAGAAGATATTTGCTTGCCAAACTTATTGCAATTCTTCCTGAGGAGGGCATGAATATCTGCAACGAACTTCATGGCAGTCACTTCAAAAGTCCATCCAAAAACATTTCACTCAAAACCATAAATATCAACTTCCTGTTGGCACTAGAAAAAAAATCAGGGAAGCGCCAAAGTCACTGAGGTTGGTTATCTGGGGAACCATGAATGTCTGGCAATCCATTCAACAGTTGTTAAGATGTCAAAGCAGTGGACTGACCAACTGAAATTGCCACCCTAAAAGCCACACTGCATGGGAGAATATAACATTAGATTCCAGAACTATGACACAAAAGCTGGCAGACGTTTTTTTCAGGTGAAAACATGGGTTTGAACTTTGTCTGACAGGGCCAGATATTGCCAATTAGAAAAAATGCATTGGGGGAAGAAGTACTCAAAACCCTTGCTCAAGTAAAAATAGCAATATAACAGTATAAAAATGTTCTTGTTACAAGTAAAAGTCCTGCATGTTTCTTGAGTAAAAGTACAAAGGTTTTTGCATCAATTAAAGTATGAAAATTAAAAGTACTAATGCAGAATAGCACAATTAACAATAACGTATATCATTATTGGATTCTAATTATCGATGCATTATTGTGTACATCACATTTAATAATGTTGCAGCTGGTAAAGTGGGAGCTAGTTTTAACTGACTTATATGCATTTAATTTGAATTACTGATGGGTAGACTGTGAATTTGCCACCAAGGATCAATAAAGTCTAAAAATCATACTGTATTTTTTGTATTAATCTGGTTCTGAAAAGTAACTAGTAACTAAATCTATAAAATAAATGTAGTGGCGTAACCTCTAAAATATAGAGAAGTTAAAGTATGAAGTAGCAGAGAATGAAAATACTCGAGTACCTCAAAACTGTACTAAAGTACAGTACTTCAGTAAATGTACTGTACTTAAGTACTTTCCATTACTGCACAATTGTGAGTACATTTATAGCAGCTGACAGTGATTATAAGTATATTAGGTGTATTAACCGTTGAGTTAGTTCAATAACTTGTAAGGAAAATACCACAGAGGACTGAACATGGTTTTACTTTACCCTGAGCTATGTGCTGCAGGTGGGACTTATCTAATCCTACCAACCTGTCTTCTTTTCTTTAACCAAACATCAAGAGCAATTGTTGGGGGTGCTATCGTCCTTGACCCTTTGAGTCAGTCTATTTATGGAACATTAATAAGCAAGGATGAGTTCCATGTGCTTTGTATTAGTGCCTTCATGGCGTGTTAATTCTGTAATTCTTTTCAGACTTCCTATAAGAAAAAAAGAAAATGGCTTTCACAAGTAACACTTAAATCTCTGTGTCACCAGGATCTTTGTGGGGCCACAACATGTGATACGCTGGGGATGGCAGACGTCGGGACCATGTGTGACCCAAAGAGAAGCTGCTCTGTCATCGAGGATGATGGCTTGCCCTCTGCTTTCACAACTGCCCATGAACTTGGTGAGAAATTTGGCCCATATAGATAAATAAATAAATAAGATAAATAGCTCCAACCTGCCTCTAAATTGTTATCTTATTATATTTTCAATGTACAGATTTAACAAACAAGATACACTGTTAGAGCTCTTGGTAGGTACAGTATATAGTTTCACTTTAGACAGACATAACCTGGATTCTTCCCCTACTTCCATTCTTTGTGCTATGCTAGGCTAACTACATCCTGACTCCAGCTTTTTATTTAACCTCACAGAAATGAGGGTGATGCCAGTTTTCTCATCTCACTCTTGGAGAAAAAGCCAATAAAATGCTAAATATTCCCTTGAACTCCAAACCACAGTTCCAAGTGTTCTCGTTAAGCAACTAGCTAAAATGACCAATTACTGCAGAAATCAGTTGGTGACTGATTGATTAGCTGTTTCATGGCAGAGAGTATGCTGTATGTTTTCACCATGCAGAGTATGTAAACCAACTGAACCTGTCTGAGATTACACTGAATTATGAAGTTTTGATTTATGACTTCTGTGGGTGGTAAATGTCCAGTATAGTATACCTTAAACAAATAGTTTCAATGTCTCAGCGATACAAATGTATATTCTTTTTTGATATTCCATCCATTCATCATCTATACTGCTTATCCTGTAGCGGGTTGCAGGATGGCTGAAGCCAATCCCAGCCAACATTGAACAAGAGGCAGGGTATACCCTGGACAGGTCACCAGTTAATCATAGGGCTGACACATAGGGTGTTTCTCGAGTCTTTTGGATGATCATTCCTACGGCTTTGGTCTCTGGTCGACTGGAATGACTTCCAGGTTGACCAAGGATGTTCCAGGTCTCTTATATTGGCTCTGAGGAGCAGGGACTGAAGAGGCTGCTGGAGGAGCCATGAATGAGGATGAGCAAGACCATCTTTTGTGTGAGTTTTTTATGATCTGACACACCACTTTTTCAGAAATCGGCTGCTGACTGGATGCTTCAGATGAGAAATAAGAAGAGAAGACCTCTCATGTTGTTAATAATGTGTTTCCTCAAGTCCTCTCTTCTTGCATCCTACATTAGCAGGACTAAGACACAAGGAAAAGATGCAGGTGAGGGAAACAGTGACCCTTATAAAAAGACTTGAGAAACACCCATAGAGACAGACAAGCACTCACACATTTACACCTAGAGAAAAGTTAGAGTCACCAGTCAACCTGACCTCCATGTTTTTGGACTGCAGGAGAAAGTTAGAACACCCGGAGGAAACCTACAGAGGCACAGTGGATACATTCTGTTTCCCTCACTTGCATCTTTTTTTGTGTCAAAGTCACGCCCACGTAAGATGTGAGAAAAACATGCAAGGAGAGAGGATTTGAGGAAGCATGTTATTAACCACATGAGATGTCCATTCCTTAGATCTTTCATCTGAAGCTTCCAATCACCAAATGATTTGTGATAAAGGGGCGTGTCAGTTCACAAAATTCTTCTACAATGGATGGTGTCATGGCTTTTACAGCATCCTCCTTGCTCCACTATATGAGACTTGGAATTTCCTTGATCGACCTTAAAAAAAGACTACCCAGGTAGAACAAACAAACTCCATACAGAAGGATCCCAGATGGGATCTGAAGTCAGAACCTTCTTGTCATGAGGCAGCAGTGCTAACCACTGCACCATGATGCTGTCCCATTTAGGTAGATATTACTGTAGCTAAATGACTAGTTTATATTTGTCAATGGTAAAAATGAAATAAGAATTAAAGTCAAACACTGCTAATCCTTTCTTGTCTTTACTTTTTTTAATGAAGTTTATTGGTTAGTATTAAAATGACTGTAGTTTTACTTACTCTCTTCTCTAAGGAAGGTTTTGTTACTGTAATAATACAAGTCATGGTTTTGTTTACATTTTCATAATCAGTAGTTCAGAGGGTTGCCACAGAGGCAGATGCACAAGTAAGTCCTGAGGCTAAGAGAGGCAGTGATTTATACTATTCTCATCCATCCATCCATCCATCCATCCATTTTCTTCCGCTTATCCGGGACCGGGTCGCGGGGGCAGCAGTCTAAGCAAAGATGCCCAGACTC